CAAATAGACTATAAAATCTATAAGTAGAAATCCAATTATTTCTCCAAAAAAGCTCCAGACAGGTGCGTGATCCCATCTTTCTGACTCTTTAGTTACTATAAATAGAAGAGTACATGTGACATTATTTGTTGTTATAATTGTTGTTGTTGTTGTTATTGTGCTGAAAAACCAGTTTGAATAGGTTTGATTTTTTCTTTATTGTTTTGATAAAATCTGATTGGATGATTGGAGAGTGACAATTATCTGGAGAGGGTAAACTGATTTTGATTTTTTGGACAAAAAGTTTTAGAAATTTTGAAATGGTGCAATAGTTGTTGCTATAATAAGGTTGTATGTAAAGGTTGTGTTAAAACAAACAGTAGACCCAATAACTCTGTTTGAGTATGTTTTTTGGAAAGTATTTGACTTAGTGTATATAATGATATTGATGTAAATAGTTTTTATATTATAATAGATGAAAGGAGGGGTGCAAGAGAACAAAAAAAAAGAGAACTGCCACAGGCCTTTCCTTATGCAACTGAAAGATAAACAAGACTCTCAAACTTAAGTAGACTTTGATCAGAAGTCCTATCCTATTGTACCAGTTATCTTGAAAGTTCTTAAGTTCTTGAGTTGAGGCTCACTTGCGATAAAGAGTGTAAAACATTTTTTCTTAACAAAAATTATTATAAAAAGAAAATTTTTAGCAAAGTAAATATGATCAGAAGAGAGTTTTTTTTTATTAATAATTTTATATTGTTTTATCTTAAATTTTTAATAATTAAAATAAAATACTAGTTTTATTATTTTATTATTTCTATAAAAATTTAAATATATTATAACAGTTTAAACAATAAGTTATATTTGGTTAAAAAAGAAAATCACAAAAGATACTATTTGAAATTATATAAATATTTTAAAAATTTTTTAAAAAATAATATTATATTATAAAGAAAATAAATATACCAATTATAAATAACAATAAAATATAACAAAAAATTATTAAAATTAATAAAAATTTCAAAATTTTTTAATAATTTTACTTAAATATTATAGTTTAAAAAATTATTTTTTATACAGTACATATAATTAAAGATTTTATAATTAAATTTTTATAATTGGTTTTTTATTTAATATATTAATAATGATTTTTTAATCTAGTTATTAGAACTTTAAAAAAATAATAATTAAAAAGTTTTCTTTTAAAAAAATTTTTTTTTGTTTTTAATAATAAAACAATAATTTTAATTTTAACAACCTCTTCTTTTTTATCTTATTAAATTTTATTAAAACAAAATTTTTATAATTATTTATTCCATTATATATTACTCTATTAATTCAATATGATTTAATAAAAAAGTGATTCTAGTCTAATTTAGTTTAAAACCCCAATTTAAACAAGACTAAATCAAAATCAAAATATAATAGATAATAAATATAAAGTATCCTTAATAAAGTAATTTCTAAATATTGTATGCATAATTTAGGAAATAAACGTTAGTTAATATGAAACGTAATAAATCACGTGATTAAATGGAATCATGTTTACTGACTTATTAGGCAAGGTCAGAAAATTCTAGATTTCAAGGAAGCTAAATACACGTAATTATAGTGCGTAATTTTATTTATCAAAGAATGATTGGCCCGTCCAATTTGAATAAAATTAATAAATTCTGATTTGCTAGTGTACTTCCTCAAAACATCTTATTCATTCTCGACTAGTGTACTTCCTCAAAACATCTTATTCATTCTCGACTTATGGCTCAAGTAAAGATTTATGTTTACGATATATCTAATGGACTTATTAGAACACTTCCACCGCATCTTTTGGTAAAGTTTCTTCGTTCAATTTTGTCCTTAGCCAAGTATTTGCTTTTCACTGACCTTAATCTTTTCCACAGGGAGGGCGTATAGGTATAATCGATATCATTATAGAATCGTTTATTTCCAAAAACTTATTTATTATTTTTCACTAGATGGTATATGGCATACCTCAGTGGTTGTTTATGGACTGGAATATTACTTTGGTCAGGGCATTTTATTTGAATTACCGGTAATAATACTCGATATTTTTGTGTTTACACTATCGTTCTGTCCAATTATATAAACTTTTTGGCATATTTAAGGGAAATACAATTCACGGTTCTCCACAAGAAATTATTGATATGGGCGAGACTGAAATACCATCAGATATTTTTGAAGAGTATATAAGTGAATTAAGAGAAATATTCACAGCGGAAAGTTACCACTTGTTAGATAATAATTGTAATACCTTTACAAACAAAGTTTGTCAATTCCTGACCGGAAAATCCCTTCCAGATCACATCACCAGTAAGTAATGTTATTGAAAACTTGTCGTTTAAGAACGCATTTTTTTATTAACTTATTATCATACAGACTTACCGGCTGATTTTCTGACCACTCCTTTGGGGCAACAGTTTCGACCCATGCTGGAATCAATGTTCGGCCCGAGTCGCCTGTCATAAAATATAATGCAAATAATGATACTTATTCTATTCTTCAAGAAACTAGTCTCCGTGTTGAAATAGTTAATATACTTAATTTAAGGGATCATTTTTAATTCTTAGTTATTTTAAATACAATAAAGATATTAATATTATAGAATGATTTTGAATTTTACCTCTTATGAATATATACTGTATATCTGATATTAGTTATTGTATTCTAGACATATAATTGCGTTTCGTGCGTTAACATCCAGAATGAAACGACTTTAAATACGCATATAATATTCTAACACATTGGTTGTATGTTTGCATAATTGCGAAAAATCTTTTTCGACATAGTTATTTAAAGAAGGTTAATTATTACTATGTATTTAATAGTCCGGACCATAGCCAAAACGCGAATTACATAAATATTTGGTAGCATAACATATAAATAGATCATTCTTTATGAACTGTTTGATATGGTCTTACTTTTACTAACTTTTCTCATACACTTTTTTTAATGTGAGCCATCCAGATATTATTTTGTAATAGTAATATAGGTGTAATTATAAGGTTTAAAGTAATTTAACGTTCATTTTTTTAAAAAAAAAAACATTATATTACCTTGTAAAGGTTAAAAATCATCAAATATCTATGAAATAATGAGAATAGCTTTCTTTAAATCGAATTAACTATACATCTTTAGTTATTATTGGTAATTGTCTTGTATTATAACAATTACTTTACTGAGTAAACAAGATTTTTAAAAAGGAATCTAGTATTTATTTAAAAATACAAACTCTCAAAAATATAAATTACATAATATATAAAAAACTCTTTCCACTGATTCTTTTGCCAACCCAAAAAACAGACGTTCTCAAAAAACTTTTTGTTTTTATGATAATAAAGTCTAT